GCCAATTGCTGCAGGCCCAGTAAACCCACCCATCCCAACCCAGGATAGGACATCTATCACACAGTAGTCTTGTGCATGGGAAATTAATGTCTCCCACCCCCAACCCTGCAGGAGACAGGACATCCATTTATTCGTCCCTATCTGAGAAGACTAGAATATCTAACCATTTCTTGATGTTTTAGAAAGGTAGCAATTTCTTCTCAATTATTTTAAGACCTTGAGTGTTGGTCCGGCCGGGGCTCAACCCTCGACCTCCCGCACAACAGTCCAGCACACTATCCATTGAGCTAACTGGTCAGTGATACTAATCATGGAAGAATCACAACTTGCAGGAATAGCATTCTCCCTCAATGTATTAGAATTCCTTGACCAGGTGACATGAGGTGGTAATCATAATTTGTCTTTGACAAGCTTTTCATTGCTTAGTCCTCTTGTTATCAAACTAGCCTGTCATTTTTTTTTTAACAAGGTGACTTTTGATTACGCCTTTTTTTTCTTTTTTACCTTTTTCGTTTTTGTTTTTTAACTGGTGCAAGGCTGTGCGCTAAGAAAAGTAGAAGGGAGCCCATTGCTGTGAAATTGTGAAATCCAAGGCATCCAGCATATGCTTTTTATGAACAAACTAAGATTCCATAGTCACCTAAGAGCAAAAGCAAAATGTCAGGAGGAGGAACCACTGGGCACTGCTAAAGCACAGCTCTGTGATGAGAATAACTGGTTGAGCAAACATTTAATACTGTACAGGAATACTTCCTTGTGTAAAAGTAGCCCAGACATTCAGTTGGTATGATGAAGTGAGACAGTAAACAGCCCAACAGGGGTGGTGTAGGGAGAAAATGGATACGATAACCTCACCCCATGGTGCCTCCGTTAACAAGTTTTTGTATGATTTGGTCCTATATTCCAGGACATCAAATTTTTGTCTCCTTTGCAACTCTTTATTTGAATGTCATTCCTCGCTCGGCTCCCATCCCATAAAACAAAGCTTATTTGGGAAGAAACAAGGCAAATTTTAGGTTTCATGAGGTCAAAAGTGATAAGTAGACAGGCAAAAGAACATGTTGGTCATCTGTTGGCCAAATGTTTACACTCCACTAAAAACTGTGACAAACAGGGCATTAACTGGGATTACTGAGCCGATCCACCACCAAGAACCTGCACACCTTGGACTGTCTGTGAATCATTTTAAGGGCCATGAGACTTTGTAAATAAAGACAATTAATTTGGTGTTGCCCCGAATTTGTAGTTAAGAAGATATGTAACTACGAGAGGGTGATATTTGAAGCCATTTTTCTAGTACAAAGGTTGGCCGATAGGGAACTGCTTTTTGTCGTTAAGGGTACTTTCGTTTGTAACAACAGTTCTGACGTAAAACAATTAACTTTTTTGTCTTCTGCGTTAATTTTTTATTTGAAACTCACTCAATGCCCTTGTTATGTATTTAAAGATACGATGAAACGGAGTTAAAGTTCGCTATTTTTTTCCCTCCAGAAATCTCCATCCAATGTCCTGGCCATCAAAGCCTTCCATCTGCTTCATCGTCTCCTCACGGTGCACACACCTTCCCAAACCACTTCACTGTACCACTCAGCACTTGGCTTTCACACAGATGCAAGTGGAATGTCAGATGAGAAAGGAGACAGCTGGGAATTTATGAAAACAGTTTACAGGTAAAATCTCAGTTTGGGAAAAAAACTACAATTTTAAATCAATTTTTGAACCTGTTCTCACGATGATTGTTTTGTCTTCCATCTGAACACCACATGTAATTTGCTTTTTGACAAGGGTGGATGTAGTACAACTTGGTTCCTGTTGTTTTTGTTGTTGTTGTTTTTTTTTTTACCGTCTTGTTTTGTTTGTTTGTTGTGAGTTTTGAATTGTCCTCAGTTTTAGGTGGTTGGAAAAGACCGTATTCCCTCGATTAAATGTGCGACGATTAATAAATTTCAAACTCGTGTAAAAAACAAGCATCCTTACCGTTCTGACACCTCGCGTTTTATCTGAGTTAGAGTCGTATGGATCGTAGTGGGCTTATTAACCTTTATCGGAGGGCGGCGTTTATTGCTAACTTTGCTTCCAACAGCGTCGCTTAATCGAGGGCGGTTTTCATTAGAGGCTATAGGGTAGTTTGTAGTGGTGCTGTCCTTAAAAGAAGTGTGTTATAGTTTTACAATGCCACTTCAATATTGCCTCTTAATTTTCAGTAACAAAGGTGACAACAGCCAACTTGTGTTGAGGTTTACGACCACTTTACTGGAGAAAGATTTTAATGAGCGTATCAATGGGTATGTACATGTAAACTTTATCGCAGCTTGAAAGTGGCCTGCGTGACAAATGTAGCCAGTGAAAGTTTTTATTGACTGCAACCTTTGATGTAACCTCCTCATGCTTGCCTTTGGAAAAAGTCGCAGGCAATTTCGCGTACATGCACACGAACGGGGATCTCCATCTTGGCCGCTCAGGTCGCCAATCAGAACACAGGATTCGCTTCACATTGCTCACGGGCGCTGCCAGCTATAAATTAAGACCTCTTATTATATTGCTGTTAGCGCCCTTGTGCAATATGAAGCGAATCCTGTGCTCTGATTGGCTACCCGAGCGGGCAAGATGGACCCAACTTTGAATCCCGTGCAAGAAAAAAAGTGCGTGGAACGGACTTGCAAAGTTTGTAACTGTCGAACAATGTCGGAGATGAAGTCGCAAATCTCTAAGAAAAATGTGTAGCAACTAGTGGGGAGAATTGTTACAATCAGTTATGGAGAGTTCATGGAGTAAACTCAGTTCCCAGTAGATCCCTTCCCCGACTCTTTTTGGTTGAAACGCAATGACTCTTAGGACTAGTGACTTCTCAGCCTTAACAGACGGATTCCAGTAGGTCACAGCCTCACCGCAACCATTTGTCAATTTTTCATAGGGCTTCAACCACTCTTGGTGAAAAATTACACTGTCTGAAACAATCCCTGCTTTGGCAAATGTTTTGGCCGGGGTCGTGTTCAGTCTCTTTCAACACTCGTCTGCGTGAGATCTTCAGGGTGATGTGGGCTACAGCTTGTTCATCGCATGACGAACCATCCCAGGTGAGTGATTGGATGAATTAAAGAAAACTTTTTGTATTTCTCCGGAATGTGTTGATGGTGTCGTTGCTCAAATGTGAGGAGATGGAAGCCTGACGTCATAGAACAGAGAAAGCCTCAAGTCATCCTAATTGTTGAATGGTAAAATAGATAAATAGTCATAAGTAATTCCACTGCTTCGCACAATATTTGTAATAAAATACACGCTAAAATAGTAAGGCTGAGGAAAATTTAATTAAAATTAGGCTTCACAAATAAACTGAAACATTTAAAAAATAGGTTTTAACAGATGTAAGATCCTGAAATTACCGAGATTGCGAGCTTTTCCATGATGAGGAAGCCGAAACATTAGAATTACTCTTTAATGAACAACATTAACTCTTCATAGGATAAATTGATTTACCGTAGTTCTCGGTTATAAGGCGCATTTGGTTATAAGACGCACCCCAAACTTGGCAACTTAGTCAAGCCAAGTTCCCAAACTGAAAATTACGTGGAAATACTTGGTTATTAGATGAACCAGAAGGTTGAGAGTTAACAGAAAAATCCGTGCGTCTTCTACACGAGAAACTACAGTAGCATATACTAAAAGAGTGAATAGCGTTGAAGGCACGCTCTGATTGGCTACTCAAACTCCGGATATCCTTTGCAATTCACCTTCGACCAACAAGTGCGCGATTTGCGGCCGAAAGTATTTTAATCGTTGCAGAAAGAAATGGGTTCAAATCTTGTTTTTGTTCGATATTATGCCACTGTTTCAATATATAAATGTACTAATACAGCTATTCGCCTCAGCATTGGTGGCTAGCGGTGCATATTTACGTAGCTGCTTCGCGGTTCGGTAAAAGTCAACCACTATCCACCTTTACCCCGATGAATAGTTGCTGACTATTTAATTTCATTATACCGTTCTTTCTCCAGATTGCAACTTTGATCTCACTGCAAAGTTTCGTTGCCATGGCAGCTCGATGCTTTATGCTTTCTGACGTCGTTTCCATGAAGTGTTCCGAAGATGATCTAGGCACCAGGTTAAGTGAGCGTTCGCGAACTTTTGTGAAGGAGCTTTTCCTGGTCCTTGAAAATAGAAACGAGGCTGCATTGAAGCGAGTTTTGGAGACGTGTAGTCCCACGTGGCTTCGAATGCACGTGACGGACATGCTACTGGTAAACTACAATGATCGCTTGGTACCCCTGAAGAGACGCCACCTGAATACTAAAGGCTTATCCCTCGAGAAAATAGTAAGCTGGTTTTGTGTGCTACGCAGTAATGTTCTATGCATCCTGCGAAATGTTCCTCTCTCGAAACACATACAATGCTGGAAGTGAACAATGAATTTTCCATTTCAACTGAACGTCGACAGTAATTCGAGATTGTATTGGTTTTGCTTTACTTCGCTCTGTGATTGATCCAGAAATCCTGCGCCACTCTTTCCACCAATCAGATCCAAACTTAAACTAAAAACGACTTGGATTTATGATTTATGAAAAGTAATTCTTTCTTATTTAATGTAAATTGATTGCATCTCATTTCCCTCCAATATTTTCTTTTCTTTTTGTTTTCCATAATGAAAACAATTTATTTGACCCGAGGTTGCTTAAGTTTTTTCCCATACAACTTAAGTTTCGAATGAACAGATGAATGTTACCTTTGACAAGTTCTGTTTTTCCATATAGGTTTCGAACTATTTCTTCCTGTTACCTGTGGCTGCCTCGGCAAATACCGACTCCGTCCCAGGATCTGCTACTGTAAATGGAGCACCATGTAAACGAACTCCACATCAGGCTGTTGGGTGAGTACACTTTTCAGACGCGGTGCGGATGCAGTGAGTACACAAGGGATTGAACCATCGAATAAAACAATAGCAAGAAGCTAGATGAGGGTTAGAAAGGACACTGAGAGGGGCCCCGAAAGTTATCTATGTTCAAAAACATAAAACTGTATTATTTCAATTTTACTGAGATTTACACCGTGAAGTACTATCGTTCTTGTCTATGATTGGACGAAGGATGTATTTTTACGGTCGTTCGCTTCGTACTCCACAGCTCAGTATGAATGAAATAAGAACATCATACCATGGAAAGTGCGCACGAACGATTTTTATTCTCGCGTTGCGATGCATCAAAAAATTCACTTGTTTGTTTATTTGATGCATCGCAACTCGTGAATAAAAATCATTCGTGCGCACTTTCCATGGAATAGTCTGTTTACTATTATGATCACTTTGGAGGGTATTAAGAAGATGAAGACTGGTCAAAAAAATGACAATGTGTGAACAACCGCACGAGCGTGTGCTTGGGCTAAAATTCATTGACATGGCAATGATCACGCGAGAGACCAGCCGTGGTGAAAGGGATGGTTACCCCAATAATTTACGGGTCAAATTTGTTTATTCATGCCTCCTTTGGTGAAAATCGAAAAGGAAAATTTAGTGAACAATTTCTCCCCATGAAAAACAAGAGTAAAATGAGACAAATATTTTACCCAAGTGTTTCGCGTGCCAACTGAAATGCTTATTCCGTCACTTATAAGACTTTATATCCACTATTTTCCGAACAGGGTATTTGATAACAAATTGACTTTTCATCTTGAGCTCCAAAACGTGAAACGCGGTCGGAAGGGAACGGAGAATCCGACTTGATTTTGACAGTCGGCCGCGTGTACTTCCGTTTGATGATTTGTATTGATCGCATTAGTGCTACTTACCATGGGGCGGATGGGGGAAAGCCTCTCTCACGCGAAACTCGCTCTCGAACTTACCGAGCAAACGCTTAGAAAAAGGATATAAAAGAAATTAAAGAAACATTCGCTAGATTCACGCAAGGGACACACTCTACTTTGCAACCAATCGGTACTTACGTCAGACATTCACGGTAACTAATCAATCATTCTACTGAATGTCTTTTTTGTTGCGTTCATTAATACTGCTTGAATTTAAAAATATCAATAGTAATGTAGGTGACGTCATTAAGGTCGCCAAATGACGTATAACTTACACTATACCATAGATTCGTGAGGAATTCTATAGTATGTCAAGCAAAATAAATTGACCATGAAAGCCGGGAGTGAAAAAGACAAGACATGAGAAATGATGAAAATTGAGCGTTCTTGTTTTTTTTCCTCTAAATGTTTGCCCTCATCCTTCGCATCATTTACGTCAGTTTCTGTGCATGTACATGACGTTTTCCAAAGACGATGGTTAAAATAGAATGTGCACTTCTGACTGATATCACTATTCTCCACTGAAACCTCATTTGTGGAAATTACTAATGTTAATTCAGAAATGTGAACGGCAAAAATACCTGGATATTCATTTGAATACGTTCCAACGCTCTGTCCTCAGGGGGCGTAGGATTATTCATTGTGAATCACTAGACTATCGCATTTTAGAAAAGATCTCTAATGAAGCCTTTCAGGCATTGGGGGCTGAGATAACCTTTGAGAATAAGAAAAATGTTATCTATGGAATTTTTTATAGACAACATAACACACCTGAAACCTTTGAATTGTATTTTGACGAGTGTATTGAAAAATTCACGTCTTCTGGAAAAGAAATAGTAATTATGGGTGATTTCAATCTTGACCTTCTAAAGTGCGAGTCATCCAATTATAGTGACGACTTTTTATCGTCCCGTCAAAGTTGTTATCTCACTCCTTCAATTGACAAACCAACACGTGTCCGTTCTTCTTCTGCCACCCTTATCGACCATATCTTTATTAATAATAATAATTAATAATCCTGATAAAGTGATGGCCTGTGGAAACTTAATCACTGACCTAAGTGATCATTTTTCGCAATTTTGCATTTTAAAATCTATGAAAGCAAAAACTCGGGTTAAGAAATCTAAAATGCGAGAGTTCTCACATTTTTCTAATGACAGGTTAAATGCTGATCTTTCTAATGTGGAGTGGAATGTTCTCTTTGCAAATGAACCAAATGACGTTAACAGCATATTCTCCTCCTTTTACAATAAATTTAACAAACTGATGAACAAGCATGCACCGATGAAAACAATTTCTAATCGCAAAGCAAAACAGTTCACCAAACCATGGATCACTAAAGGTTTGCGAAAATCGATTGGAGTTAAAAATAAGCAATTAAATATGTACCTTGACTCGCTTAAGCAAACAGCAATATTATGCCAAATTCTTTCATGATAATTTGACAAATAAGAAACAAACATGCCTATTAGTTCTATTAAAGATCCTGATGACAATAATTCAATTTCAAGCAACCCCAATAGAATTGTCAATATTCTCAATAAACATTTTGCTTCGGTGGGGCTTAAATTAGTAAATAAGTTACCATCCTTCCAGCGAAACTGTTTTGATTTTCTCAACAGATCTAATTCTCCTGATACGTCGTTTGCCTTCAATTTAGTAACCCCATCTGAGGTGAAACTAGAAATTTCTCGCTTACCGAACAACAAATCTCATGGCTTATATTCATCTCCAACGCAGATCTTGAAGTGCTCGTCGAATATTATCAGCAATACCCTTGCAAAAATCATAAATCTATCTATTTCGACTGGAGCATACCCGAATAAGCTAAAGACGGCTAAGATTGTTCCTATTTTTAAAACAGATGATAATACTGATCCTAGTAATTATAGGCGAATCTCTCTACTATCTAATTTTAACAGAATTTTTGAAATATTGATTTTCAAGAGAATGGATTCTTTTATTGAACAACATAATATGCTTTCTCCATCTCAATATGGCTTCCGTAAAACACTTTCAACTCAGCATGCAATCCTGGATATTGTGAGCACCGTACAGACGAACGTCTATTTTCGTGTGGAGTTTTTATTGATCTAAAGAAAGCTTTTGACACTGTAGATCATAAAATTTTACTACATAAGCTAGATCACTATGGTTTCCGTGGTGTCATCAATAAATGGTTTTCTTCTTACCTACAAGGCCGAACCCAAACAACTCAAATTGATTCGTATATTTTTGCTAGAAGTAATTTTACCCGTGGTGCACCGCAAGGCTCCGTCTTGGGCCCACGACTTATCCTAATCTATATTAACGATATTCAAGAATGCTCTGAAAAGCTTCAATTTTTTTTGTTTGTTGACGACACGAATATCCTGTATGCTGACAAAAATCTTAGGTCATTTGGAGTTAATTGTTAACCAGGAGCTCTACAAATTGTATGACTGGCTAACAGCAAATAAATTGACCCTGAATTTAAAAAAATCTGATTTCGTCATATTTTCACTTGCTCGAAGAAAATTTAATTATCAACCTAAAATTATGATGTTTGATAACGAGCAGAATAAAAATGTAGCTTTAGAATGTAAGGAATTTATAAAATACTTAGGGATACTAATTGATAAT